AGGACCCACATTCACAAAAAACCTATTAAACTTATCTACTGCATCCTCCAATCTATTAACCGGTGTATCATTATCCATAAAATATTGAGGGTAGTTACTCTTGCTGGAACTGTTTCTAATCAATTTATTTAATATATTCCAAGTACCTCTCATATTATTTTTATTATCCTCTAATACTTTAGAGTAATATAGTTTCTTACATCTCCTCAAAATCTCAATTAATTTGTTCTTATATGACTTATATTTTTCTTCCGCCTTCTTTGATCTGTCTTTTATTAATTCCTTATATAACGCATTCTTCTTTTTACATGCATTCTGTAATCCTTTACTCATTCACGGTTTCCCACTGTAATTCCTCTTGTTTTTATACTGCTTACGAGGACAGTTCCTGTCATATACTTTCATGAATATATTTAAAAATTGCTCATATGCTTTGTCTAAGTCTTCCTCTCTGTAAACTGCTTCCCAGTCCTGCCTCCTAAAGACCTCTTTTAGCCTCCTTACAGCATGTTCATTCATCACCCTCCTATAAAAAAGATTTGTTTTTGGCCTTTCTTTTCTATACTGGCCCTCATAAACCAAAAATACAGGTAAATGATCACTAATATCATTTATAAGTAATCCACTTGTCATTTTGCTGTTATATTACAGAGTAAATATATTATCTATTAGTGTTGCATGCTGGGTTGTTACTCTACTTGGTTTTGTAATTTTTGGGTATAAACTGCATCTATATATTGTGCTAATAAACTCCTCAGTTCCTGTATGCTTGTTAGGATTTAACAAATCTGTATTGAAGTCACCACATATGAACATTAATTTATGACTTGTTGTCAAGTAATTTTCTTCCATCCAGTCATTAAATTTTTCTATGCTGGCTCCAGGTGCTCTATAAATACAGCTTATTACAACATTTTTCTTTTTTTTTGCACGAGTATTTCTTTTTTTCAGGGTCAAAATCTTCGTCCGGTTCATGATAATGAATTTCAATATTTCCAATAGTGTTCAGTTCCAGATCCAGTCCCTCAAAATCTATTAACTTCTGTAACAAATCACTTGCCTCATTCCGTACATGGGTCATGCTTGGCTCATATAATGCTAACTATATTTAAATACTGCCATTAAACATTCACTGTTATGACAGTGCTCATGTTGAATTCAAATGGGACAGGAACACATTCAGATCTGCACATTCATAAAGGTCAACATATTTGAATTAAATGTCTAAAGCAAAAATTCAGTAAGTCTGTCAGTGAACTCCAGAAAGTGATGACACGATGCTCAGGACCTGATTCTCCCACATATGTTTTGGGGAAACAACTGTTTATGGTTGTTGTTATGCTGGCTTTCCTTCTGCAATAGCGAGATGGGAATTCTTTTGGAGTTTCCCTTTTACCTGCAGATGCCCAGCATGGGGCCGGGACCCCCAGGGGCCCTGCATGCTATTGTGGTGAGTCCATAAATATTATTCAAGCAAAAAGTGGTGTCAGTCCTTCAAGATTCCACAGGGTGCCCATCTTGTTTACTGTTAACATAGTCGTAAGTTCAGGCAGAGAATCCATCAATTTTTTATCTATACCGCTTATTCCTGAATAAGGTCGAGGGAGCTGGAGCCAATCCCGGCTGACAGTAGGCGAGAGGCGGGGTCCACCCTGGACAGGTCGCCAGTCTATAGCAGGGCTGACATGCATACAAGCAGACACACACACACACACACACACTCCTACAGGCAATCTAAACTGCATGTTTTTGGATTGTGGGAGGAAGCCGGAGTACCCGGGAAAAAAAAACCAACGTAGGCACAGAGTGAACATGCAAAACCCGCACAGAAAGTCCCCGGTTCGGCTCGGGCTCGAACCTGAGACCTTCTTGCTGTGAGGCACTAACCGGTGTTCCGCCCCACAGGCAGAGAATGAAACTGAAATGTATACGTTGTTCTATTTCCTCCATCATCAACGTAGCAGAGTTGAAGCTCACACTTCCTAAACCACATTGTCTCCTTTGAAAAAAACTTAACTTTACGGAAAGTGTCATCTTCCAAAGCAGGTTACCTGCGGACAGTGGAGCCGTTCTGCAGGTGTGGAGCAGCGCGTCGCTACGGAAGTAGTTCCGCACGTAGGCGTAACGTTAGCTGGTTTGTTTTCAGAGAAGCTGTGTTTACCGTCAACAGGGAGCAGTTTGACCTGTTATTGACAAGACTAAGGTTTGATGTGATGTCAGTTCACACGTTCTAACTAAACAGTGGCGCAACTTTTGACTATTTACTGGTTTAGCAAGCGTTAAAGTTCGGCTTATTGCAGAACCCACCCAGGTAAGCTAAGTTAACATTACAGCTAATGTTTAAGTTAGAAAAATGAAGTTGCCGACATTAAAATGAAGAGTTAACAAGTGTCATGTTATCTGTAAGTAAACTTTAGCTTAGGTTCCAGCTTCGGAAATACAATGAGATGAGCATACTGTTATCAAACATGTGTTAGCAGTAACAGCATATAAAACATTTACATTCTATGTTATTCGACAACAATTATTATTTCTATGAAGACTTGACGTTATAGCTATTTAGTATTTTCTCTATTGTCATTCATTAAGGTTACAGTAATTACTATTATGGATGCAAACAGGAAGAGCTAAAGTTACTGACAAAGACAAATAAACATTTATATCCGCTTACAACTACATTATAATGTTATAGCCCATTTATTTAATGTAAATATATACCTTTAAAGTGGAACTTGAACTCAGGTATTTTCTTATTATTTAGTTATTTTAATGTTATTGTGAATTAACTAGCTAGTTATTATTTTCTAAAGAACACAAAGAGTGTTTTAATCTCTGACCTTTCTCTCTGTTAATGTTTTTAAATGTTTAATTCTGTCTGGCTCTACCCAGGATGTCAGGGATGATAGCCAGCACAACAAACTACCTGTGGTCTTTACATGATGTCCTCGGCCAAGGCGCCACCGCCAATGTATTCAAAGCACGTAACAAGGTAGGCCACACTAAGGATACATTTATCATACCAATTTGTCAACTTTATCATTATAGCACATTCTGTCAAATTGTTGTTTTTTTTGTTGTTGTTGTTTTTTACTGTGCAGCTCATTGACATCACTGCTGCCATCAGTGCTGATGTTTCAGCCTACTTTCTGCTTCAAAGGCAACTCCAGGATGTGTGATAAGAAATGTTTGTGTTACAGGACTTATGTTTGAGCTGCTGTTGACATCCTTGTGTGTCATGCTGATATATATGTTTGCATGTGTGTGCACGCGCAGAGGACAGGTGAGCTGGTAGCTGTCAAGGTATTTAATTTACTGAGCTACAACCGCCCTCATGAGGTCCAGATGAGAGAGTTTGACATGCTGAGGAAGCTCAACCACAGCAACATTGTCAGGCTTTTTGCAGTGGAAGAGGTAAGGCTGCATGCATTTAAATAAACAGGTTACTGCTGGTCTTCTCCATTAAGTTCATTTCTTAATTGTCATGTAAACAAGAAACTTGATAATCGAGGTGGGGAAGAAACCCTTCTTCTCTCACTACTACAGCTAAAATAAGAAAGCTTTACTTCCAAAATAAGATCAGGGGATGGAGAAAAATCTGATTACTGACTGGCTGCAAGTATTCACAGGATAAATGCTGCTTTTTTGAGTAATCTGATTACTTAATAAGTGCATGTAAACACTGTAAAAGAGAAGGAACAACCAGGGGAGAAGATAGATGTGATAACACGAGGCGATAATGAATTTAACATCTTCATCAGATAGCATTTGCACCCCTGGTGGTTCACTGTTAGACACCAGGATCTTGGGGAAAGGGTTTGATTATTTTTCTAATATTTTTCCTAATATTTTCATTAAGTTTACAATGCATAAAACAAGTGCAGCTCTGCTCCTTGTCTCTCTCTGTAGCTTCCCACTAAACAGAAGGTGCTGGTGATGGAGTATTGTTCAGGAGGAAGTCTGCACAGCCTTCTAGAGGAGCCAGAAAATGCCTTTGGTCTTCCTGAAACAGAGTTCCTCACCGTATTGCAGTGTGTAGGTGAGCGTGTATATCTGATTTGGTTCCAATAACCTTATGTACATATTACTGAAAGGTATGTGTCAATCAAGATATATGCAAGAACAGGCTCAATGATTAATTACATGGACAATTGTGGGTGTGGTGTACACTTTGTATTAATTCTTTAGTATATTACTTGTGTGGTGTTGAAGATAATTATTTAAGAATGTAATTATGTAAGAATGTTAATACTGTTATAATCTTTTTTAGTATAATACTTGTGTGGGTAGAAGTGAATCATTTACTGCTTGCAAACCAATGCTGGTAAGATGATGTCATGGGGTAGGACTGGATAAGTCTGACTTCTTCCTACTCCATTCAAGCATGTACTTGGTATAAGCAAATTGATATTGGATTATGTGTATGTGTGTTGTCATATCAACTGTTTTTACATGCTTGAAAGAATAAATCAAATCAAATCAAAGATTCCTCCCTCTGCTGTCTTCAGTGCAGGGTATGAACCACCTGCGGGAAAACGGAGTGGTACACCGGGACATTAAGCCAGGCAACATCATGCGGCAGGTTTGGGAAGACGGCAAGTCCATTTATAAGCTGACTGACTTTGGAGCAGCAAGAGAGCTGGAGGATGATGAGAAGTTTGTTTCTCTCTATGGAACTGAAGAGTATCTGGTAATATAACAGGCTCACAGATAAACTTGCCTGTATTCATGCTGTGCAGTCCAAAATGACAACTTCGAGTGTACCTCAGCGAAGGCTGCACAGTCCCTTAGTTTTTTATGTGGGGATGGGAACATCAAAACATAGTATATACAGACTATATTAAAGATTGATTACAAGAACATCTTAAAGTAAATTCAAAATTTGTGAAAATCTTTGTAGGCAGAAGCTGGTAGGTGTGTCATATCAAGAAATTCACCAAAATATGAAACTATACTTAACTCTTAACTAAATTTGATTGAAATCTGTTAATTTGCTTTTGATATGTCCTACTAACTAAACAAAGAACAGGTCTGAGAACCTAGCCCACTTGGTTAAGGTAATAAACAACAAATATGATGCCCACAAGGGACACAGACTGAAAAGACATTTTCAAAAATCACTTTGATTTCTCAGCAGTTATGGCTTAGAGATTTGTTTCCACCGCATTCTCTTATATCTTTACTACAGACTCGCCTAAAAGCAGTATTAATGTAACCTACTGCAATCATATTTATGAAGATTTTATGAAGAGAAAATCATTTTACTGCCTCAGCAGGATGAGGACATTGCTGAGAAAGTGCATTTAGTTCTATAGTTTTACTTTCATTCATTCATTTTCTACCGCTTAGTCCCTGAACGGTGTCACGAGGGGGCAGAGCAGAGCCAATCCCGGCCGGCAATCGGGCGAAGGCAGGGTACTCCCTGGACATGTCGCCAATCCATCGCAGGGCTTATACTTTTACTAGTGGGACATAATTTATGTAGCCTTTATACCTCAAAGCAACTTGAAGACTGGTTAGTGGACACATGCATAAATATATTTCAACAAAGAAGGGATCAGCTGGTGGTATATTAAAATAATTATGGAAGTAGCTGTGGAGTAAAGTTTTGGCAGTTAGACAAGTGGGACCTAAAGAAGACAGGATATATTCCTGTCTTCCACCCACAGTCTAGACACTTCAGGTGGTGGTGGATTCATTGAAAAACAATGACATTTAAAGAATAGCACGCAGGGACCGAATGGCTCTAGGAACCTGAGCATCAGGGCTATTGGTCAAATATAGGGATGTTGAAATTGTGAACATAGGGGTTTTATCTGCTTTTACATTAAAGTGCTGAAGTGACTCAGATCTGATCTTTTCACAGATATGTACAAACCATATTAGACTTGGGTCAAATTGATTTGGTTCACTTCCATATGTGGTCCTAGAACTAATTCATATTCAATCTCTGACCATACAGCCACTGTCAAAACAGTCAGATTGGAATTCATGTGGTTTTTTCAACACCTCACTCCCCTGCACATGTCTGTATTGCCTGGCATCAGCATTCAGAGTCAGTGCTTCACAGACTGGCAAAAGTAAACATAGAGCAGCGCAGCAATAACGATAAGGGTCAGTGGAGGGAAGAGGACGTGTCACATTTGTTGGGACATGTATGGAGAAGCTTCTGTTCAAGCCAGACTGGCAGAAATGTGTCATAACCAAGCAGTTTTGAGGAAATTGCACAATGTGACTATCACAGAAATGACATTGTTATTTTTGTTATAGTACTGTAGGCATGCAGCTTCAGTTACCATAAATCCGTGCATGCATTCAAGTGGGAGCTGGATACATGTCACTTACAAACATGAGAGTGAACCATCAACAAAAAAAGATCAGATGTGACAGAAAGATTGGACGATCCTATCAGTACAAAGGCCTGTAATGTGAACACAACCTTAGTCAACATGGGAAAGGAGAGGTGATGGAAAAAAGTTAGAACAGCAGGAAAGAGCTGGCTTTCACCCAGAGAGGAATAAAAGCTTTTGGAAGGTAAAAGAAATAAAATCTACAACATACAGATCATGGAAAAATGACAATCTGGTGACTGACTGGAGAAACGGTGCTTGTGTATATATACAAGGACCTGATCAGGGACGTGAAACTGGGTATATATGTGTAATACGTGTGCATGTTACAAATTCTATAACTACTGAATCGTGTGTGTGTGTGTGTGTGTGGATCATAACCTTAACTGTACAGTATGAATGTGTGATGACTGTATAACTGCCATTATAACAAAACGTCTCTGTGTCTTGTTTGTCTGTTTCTAGCACCCAGACATGTATGAGCGTGCTGTGCTGCGTAAGGGTCATCTGAAATCCTATGGAGTGAATGTGGACCTGTGGAGTATTGGGGTGACATTTTACCATGCTGCCACTGGGTGTCTTCCCTTCACACCATTTGAAGGACCCCGCAAGAACAAAACCACCATGTAAGTTAATACTTTTAGGTCTGATAAGGTGACTCACAGACCACAAATACCGTATCTGATAGAAAAACTGAGTTTCAAACTCCCATCCCTTCACCCCGAGCGAATGAAGCAGTTATGCCACTTTCATTTATTGTATTAGGGTTTTTTTAGATGTATTTATTTGTGAAATAATGACATTAGTCCCTTTTACACTGGAAGGATCTTCCAGCGTGTCTCAAAAAGCACATGGCCATCATCAGAGTGCTGATGACGGCCGTGTACTGAGACATGTGGGTAAAATAAAGATCCTTCCAACAAGTGTTGCCATGTTTTTTTATTCTGGGATTGTTGCAGCTTGAGCACCTTGTTGACTGAAGACAGCACAGCTCTTCTTCATCAAGCAGAACATAAACGTCCATCAGTGATAAATCAGCCTCACTTGACAAAAATAAATGGTCTTTTGTTATGTAGGTACAAAATAACTACAGAGAAACCTATGGGGGCAATAGCTGGAATACAGCGGGTGGAGGGTGGTCCAATAGAGTGGAGCTACCACCTACCTCACAGCTGCCAGTTGTCACAGTATGTCACTTCAAGAGAATACGAACATACATCTCAATAATGACTCAGATTTTTCCTTGATTGTCTCTATTTATGCCTCTCCACTATCTCTCTCTCATTCTCTGTCTATAGGGGGCTACGGGTGCAGCTGGTTCCAGTTTTAGCAGGTATACTGGAGGCTGACCAGGAGAGGTCCTGGGGTTTTGATCAGTTCTTCACAGCCACTACAGACATACTGCAGCGACAGCCAGTGTACCTCTTCTCTCTGCAGCAGGCCATGGCCCACTGTATTTACATACATCACTACAACACGTAGGTCTGCTCATGCATCACATGCATGATTCTCATCAAACAGAAAGGGGCTGTATATACTATAACAAACTGAAATAAAAAAACATGTATTTGTTGTTTTTATGGGGTGGCACAAGAGTGGAAGATTTAGAGCTCATTACATTTTATAGTGATGAATCAGGAGTTAGCTCTCCCCCCTCTCACCCAGGGTGTCAGTCTTCTTTGAGGAAGTGGCATCTCAGACTGGTATAGGTGTTCAGCAGCAACATCTACTGTATCTGGGGCATGACCTTCCTCTAGAGGGCAACATGAAGGTGGTCAATCTCCCACCTACTTCACCTGCCCAGCCCCTCATTCTGCTCAACTATCGGCCTGAAGCAAACACCAGCTTCCCTTTCAAAGAACGTAAGACAAATAAAAACATGTACATCTTGTCTTTTGTTTCTGTTAAGTCTTGCAGTTCTCCATCTTCTTCCTTTTTTGCCTTTCCCCAAAAGAAATGAGTTCTGATATGAGGTGTATTCTGGTGTCACATTCACTTACTCAACACATAAATATCTTTGTGAATCATCTGTTTTATGTCAATTGTATTGAGTAATATTTATTTGAGTGTCAGTAATCATATTTGCAGTAATGTGTGCGACACACAGATGTACATACACTTTGTGTGTATAAATTATATATTTTTGGGGTGTGGGTTTCTTCACTATAGCAGAGACTCCTATCATCCCATCCAAGTTTGACGTGATGGCAGACTACAATTTCACCAAGGTACTACTGCAGTGCTGGTTTTATGCTAATTTTTTTCCACAGAAGCCTTTACCTCATCATTGGTTACCTCCTGTAATCCCCTTTTATCTGAAGGTAATAGCAGGAGTGGTGCACCAGTATCTGAGGATAGTACAGTTGCTGCACATGCACCGAGAGCTGCTACTGCAAGGATACTATAGTTACATGTGAGACACACACTAAAATAACTTTGTGCTACTTCATTGACTTGTGTATCTCTCAGGTTATATGACTCCAGGTAATGAACCTTTTCAAACTCTTCCCCCCTCCATCTCTCCTCCATGTGTCCCCTCTTTCATTGTTCCTCAGGATGGAGTTGCGCAGGGAGTGTGGAGAAGCCATGCATGGTATTATGTTGATAACCATTAGGCTGCAATCTTGCCTTAACCTAGGGCACAGGATCCACGCACTGTAAGTTTACAGTGTGTGAACTTGAAGTGGGAAATAAATGCTCCTCAATGCATTATGATTCACAGCAGTAGGACAGGTTGTATTTGTTCCTTGATGCTGAAGTTGACACTCTGACCAATAAAGCTTAGTCTTGTTACATGAATAAAGTGAATTCTGAGATTTGTCATTGGTTGACAAATGTAGACCAAAACATAAAATGACCACACACTGAAGGCTTACATGATATATTTGAAAAATATAGCCAACCTTTCAACCCACCGATCTTCTTCAGGGCAAGTAAGATCAGAGGAAGGACATCTCATCTAACTTGCCCTGAAGAAGCTCAGTGGGTCGAAACATTGGCTATATTTTTCAAATATATCATGTAAGCCTTCAGTGTGTGATCATTTTTCTCCTTTGTGATTTAGTTTGTCATAACCAGCACCCGTCTTTTAGGTGCGCATTCACACTAAGTCAATTTTATTAGCCTAAATGTAGACCAAAACTCATATCACACCAATATTTCTCATACTGGCATAATCTAACCCGTACGTTTCTTTTTTCCCCTTTCTACTCCCATGTCTGTTATGTTTCTTAGAGGCCATTGCACTTCAGAGAACCAAGGCTCAGCTGATAACAGTCAAAAGCTGCAGCTGGTGAGTATCATCAAGTAGCAACATCATAGAGACAGAGTGAGAAACTGTTGATGTCCTAGTTGTAAGAGCCTGTTGCTGCTGTCTCCACAGGTCCGTGAGCACCTACCTGTATATACTGCAGGCATCCAAGAGTTTCAGAGCCGACTGGACCACCTCCAGATAGAACAGGCCAAGCTAGCAGAGATCCTGGCTGATGACAAGAGGTACTCTGGGGAAGCAGAGAATCAAAGCTAGGTTCCTGGGTTTTAGATGTTTAAACTTTGACTTTGTCTCATTACAGCTGTCAGAAGATGGAGATGCTGCTGCAGAAGATAACAGCAATTCATCAGCAATATCGCAAAGACAGACATACCGGCAGTATGTGTGTTTCTTTGTTGGTATATACTGTAGAGTTGTTGCTCTTTGTTCATGGTAAAATTAACATCACCTTTTCTTATTTTCACCACAGAGTTGGCATATAATGACGAACAAATCCACAAGTTTGAGAAGTGAGTGTGTGTCTTTGACCGCGGATTTATGTGTCCACACAGTCAGCCTATATAGTATGAAGGTGTTACTCTGAGCTCCCCCATAATCTGCTTGCCACTCTCCCTTCCCAGAATTCACCTGTCATCCCACATTAAGCGAGTGAAATCCCTCTTCAGAGAGGACTGCCTGCAGAGATACAAAGAGCTTTTGGCCTCAACCAGAACATGGAGCAGGTTCTCACCTCATATAGTTAATCTCCAAACAGAGCTAAATTTAATCTGCAGATTCACGTCAGATGTGTAATCTCAACATTTATCAGTATTTTCCACTAATAGTTCAGTATTTTTTGACTGAGATAACTATTTGTTTGGTTTAACAGATTAAGCAGTCTTATATGAAGATAATAGGACAATCAGGAGTCTTGCTTATACAGATGACTTTGGTAGTCTACATTATTAATCCTCATTTCATGTTTATTTAGCAAGTACTACTGAGATTACACATTTTAAACTTCAGTCTATACATGTTTTCCTTTCAGTTTTCTACAGATACAGAAATCCATTTTTACATTTAGGATTGCATTTGAAGTTTAATTTGTATAATGATGTCGAAGTTGTGACCTGTTTATTATGTTTTATATTTTTGTTAGTTTTCGGAACAGTTTTGCAACCAATATATGCAGCCAGTGGGTCCTTATGTACCCAGCCAATGTCCAAAGGCTACATTTTCCTGTTGTGTTTTTCTGAAATCAGCCAAATAGAATTATATGATATATATGTGGCAGCTTAGACTTACTGAAGTGTGTCCCTGTATTTGCAGTGTCTTACTGGAGATGCATACCCGACTGCAGGACTTCAGCTCTTTCTCCACAGGCTTGTTGGCCGAACTGGAGATGAATGAGCAACGTCAGAATAAGGTCAACAATCCACTTTTTATCCCTGACTTGAATCTGGGCGCTGTAGACTTTCTGTTTGTGGGAAACTCAGGTCTCTTCCTGCATGCCTTATTCACAGTTATGTAATATAAAGTGAATTTGTGCTCAAGTTACTGGGGATATTTTGTTTGTAATTGATAGATATGGGAGTGTGTGTTTTTTTTTCATCAGCAATGTAATAATTTCATCTGTCCTCCTCAGGCTCTGGACAGAATCATTTTCACTCCACAGACCAACAGAGCAGGACAACAGCCTGAAATCACACCTAAGGACAAGGACCACATGGTCTCCAGGTGTTTGTCTTTGTGTGTGTGTGTGTGTGTGCGTGCATAACAGATAGAAACAATTGTCCTGGTAACATTTCTCATTCTGTTCTAGGATGCACCATCTGAAGGATGAAATGGAGATTTTGGTGAGGGAACTACAGTGTAACAACAGCATTATAGAGAGGTCAGTTTAGTTTATTTATCCACTGTGCCAAAATTCACACCCCCTATATACAGTAGATGATACAGTATGATGATTATTTATATTTATTTTGTCCTATAGTTTGGGAGCAGTGAACTCTGCAGCAGCTCTGGAGCCAAGTCTGACCAGACCGTCTACATTGTAACAAATATGCAGCATCTTTGCATCTGAATTTACAGATTCACAAGCACTTTCTCTGACGAATACCACATTGTAGTTGTCTTTAATAAGCAGCTATGGAAGGATGTCTCATGTCATTTAAACCAGGTTTCTTTGGTTCCTCTCTCCTCACAGTTTCTCCTTGTATCTTACATAGGTAGGATTAAGATGCAAGGAAAAGATGTAGTTAGTGGAATTGGGATTCATCTCATGTCTCTGTGTTTGTTATTAAAGGAAGGGTTAGAGTCATCTGCTGTTTTTTTTTTTCTTCAGTCAAATGGTCCCATGTAACTTCCTTTATAGTTTTATCATTGTGACTGATTTGTGATTGGTTACAGTCAGAATTCCCAAGCACAGTAACAGTGTTATACTTTTGAAGTTGCATTTGTCTCTGTTCCTGTTAATGTTTAACTGTAATAATAAGTTATTTCTCTATTTTATCATTGGTTTCTCTGTAAAAGAGAAGAAAAATCAGGGAAACTCAGCACTCACCACAGTATGTCCTTTTTAACAGAACTACATGTGGCTAACATTTACACTGTGGTTCACAGTGTGGGGAAATCCCAGGGTTTGGTATTTGTTAGTAAATGGATTACACGTGATGCATGAGGTTTAAGGATTGGTAAAATGTACTTTACTTATACTGTACTATAAATCTTTGTTATCAACATTTTTAATCTATTGTTTGTTTTGTCTCAAATGATGAAGTAATAGTAGGCTGAAAAGTGTAAGTAAAAAACATCTTATGTCTGTTCTTGTCAGTTTACAGTAGGAACGTACCTCTGCAGTGTATGAGGATGACTCACTGTGATCTGAAAAGTCACTGAGGACACAAATGACTGTGATAATAGTACACTCTTATAGTCAGTCTTTCTCAAAGTACTTTAACATTAAAATTGGTGTGGGTATTTGTAACTGGACTGGGAATGTGAAAGGTCTCAAAACAACAGAAAACAAATGAGCTGCTGTGATATTGCAAAGTTACAGAGAATGAAACTGAAAGTTTTTAGCTCAGTTTGTGTGAGAGTGCTGGGGGTGTCTTCAGGGGCTTTCTCGACTCCAGGTGGGGTGAGCTCAACTGCCTCTGTGGTTTTATTGCCACTCATATGACGCGTTTTTGACAAAGTGGAAAATTTAGTTTTTATCCCACACAAACAAGTGTGACATTTTTTTTTTTTTTTTTATCAGACTTGCTCAGTGTTCTACATCATGCTGACATTACTTGACTACTTAGGGCCACCTGAAAGTCCTGTTAGTCATATGTTCACTGTCAACTAGCAGATAACTTTGTTTTTTTGATACATTTATGTCTGAGCCATTTTAGCACCTACAACAAAGTAATATTTAAATTGCTACATTGAACACATGATTATATTATCAAAAGCAGGTACAATCGTTAGAATAGTATGAAATGTTTAGATAAGAAACCCCAGCATCATGTTTTGTGTCTCTGGTAACGTTTCCCAGCTTTTCATCTGCTGGCTTTTGCTATATGTCAATCTACTTTACCTAGTCTACTCTGGGTACACACTTATTACTATGGCCTGGTAGCAGTGGGGTTAGTAGCTAACAAAATACAGCGACTCGTCAGTCAGTACCTGTTGTGAATTCGTGCCTAATAACTCGTTAAGTAATGCTAAACCAAACCTGTATGAAACAGGGATCGGTGCGCGCTCCTGTTGCTTTAAAAGGGGCGCGCCCGCGGCATTAAAGCTGTCAGACCCCTTGCGTCACTACTACACACTTGTCGCAGGCGTGAGTTGAGTTTACATTCTGGGCACGGAGTGAAAACACACTAATACACACTCCGAACAGAGACACGCATTACAGGAGAACAGCACAATGGCGTCCGTGAGTGTTGTGGGTCAGCACAGGCTGGACTCGGAACCGCAGCTGTTCCTCTTCAAACTGACCGGCGTCAGGAAGAAAATCACCCCGCAGAAGAAAGCGTCCAGGGAGAAGATGTTCAGGAGAGGTTCGGGGAGCTTAGGGGAGTGCGGGTCGGACGCTGCTGAACGGGAATCAGGAATCTTGTCTCCTGGACCAGCTGGAGAAACAGCGGTGAAGGGAAGCGTGGTGCCCTTTGAAGGATGCGGAGCTCTGGCTGTCCCCGCTGCGCCACGTAGCCCTGACCGGGACAGAGAGGGGGACAGCACGGACTGCGAAAGGTACACCAGAACCCACGAAATTCAAACTGGGCACATCATCAGTGACAGTAACAGCAACATCGACTGTAACTCAAATCATAACGCAAATGGTCGGAGGAGGACTTCGCTCAAGAGGTCTGGTAGCGAATCGGTTGCGGATGGACACAAAGGAACGCACCGGGACCGGGACGCGCCACACGTGAGACGGGACTCTCGGAAGGGAGACAGCGGGTGTCAGAGCATCTCACTGTCTATGTCAACACACGAAGAGAGCGGTGGTCTCCCACTGGAGCGGGTTACGCAGGGCAGAAGCGGAGTCGTAAGGCTGGCACGCACCGAGCCTTCCCGCAGGGAGGCCTGGTCCATCTTTCCTCAGGGGGTGGATCCCCGGGTGAGGACCGAGAGGGGCGAAGGACACCGATTCGAGGCCAAGCCCGTCACGCAGGACTGGTGTGACGTCTGTAGCCGTCAGATCACTGCTCAGGCACTGAAGTGTCAAAGTAAGTAGAGTTCTACAACATGTTGATCTGTATTTTCTGTACAGGCTCATTAGAAATGAGTGATATTGATTAGTCATCTACTGGCTGTCAGTTATTCATCCTGTGGCCCATTGTTTCATATTATGTGAATCCTAAACATGCACATTAATAGATCTACAGGTCACATATTTCAGTTGTGTCGTTAGTGGCATTTTATTTTCCCTTATAACATAATGCAGAATAGGCCTTGTTGGTGATAGTGCTCTGTAGACTGTTGGGTTATTATGTGAAGGGCACAAGTAGTCGGGTACCTAACTCTTCCTGGTGTGTGTGTGTTTGTGCACAAAGTGTACATGTGCTTTTATGAGAGAGCCAAAAACCTTCCATGGAAAGCTACCTTTCCCAGAGAATGGCAACAACTTTGCCATTCGCTGGGATTTGAAGCCTCGAGTTCCAAGAGCTAGTGGTGCATCATAGATATCCAGAAGCACAATGAAGACGTCTCACACATTATCAGGAGTGTGTTTGGGTGTTTCAGGCTGATGAGGGTGTGAGAACAAAACACTTTTTCCAGGAGTCATACAGATGTAACGGGGGGCACCCTTGGACAGCAGCTTTCCCCCCTGATTGTATATTAGAAGCCCTGTTTAAAGTCATTTAATCCCGAGAACTGCTCAGGCTCTGATGACATCACTCCCACCTGCACAGCTCTGGGACACAGAGTTTGGGCCAAGCCAATTTGACCTGGCATTGTGAATATGTGTTTAATCTGGACTGAAAACACACATGCTCACACACACATGTGCCTTTTGCTTGAAACACTGAGCAAAGCCTGAAGAGCGTTTGTCTGTGTGGGGGTTTCTTTGTGCATATACTGTACTGTACGTGCATGAATGCTGTTTGTGTTAATTTGTGTGTAGCTGCTGAGTTGGCATTGTGTCAGCAGTACTCTGTCATGGGGAGGCTGCGGCTGTAATGCGCTGAGAGAGAGAGAGAGGAACTTGAAGGGATCGAAAGCGAGGAAAGAAGTGAGGGAAGAAGGGGACAGATGAAACAGGAATGAAACTAAGAACAACCTGAATGAGAGAGAAAGTAGCTGGAAAGAGGGATGACAAAAGTAGTGGAAAGAGTCTAAAAAGAGGTGGAGACAGACAGGGTAATAAAAACAAGGACAGGAGACGGAAAGGTAGAATAAGAACAATGGAGAAGAAAGAGCTGGGGCGAGGGAGGGAGAGGGGACAAGAGTAAGAGTTTGTCCAGCACTGCAGAGCTGTCTGATTTAGTGTGTTATCAGCAAGAGCTCGGTGGAGCGTGAGCTGAGATCACTGGAGCACTATTCACACACATACCCCGACAAACACACACACACACACACACACAGAGTAATGAGTTTCTTTACTACCCCAGAAATTCAGAGTTTTTATAGTCTCTTTATGGATCAAGCTAATTAGCTGCCAGCAGCTGTCTTCATCTCTGCCTCCTTTTCCCGTCAAAAGCCAGTGGTGACTGTGGTATGCAGTCATCAGGTCACCGGGACATGTATGACAAGGCATTTCAGGGAGAAACACAACCAAACTAAGATGGAATAAAAACAGCTCACACACACGCACTCTTCTTTCAGCTACACCCAGCAAATGACAGGGGGTGAGAGACAGAGGCCTCGCAGCCATAAACAACCATCATTCTGTCTTTGTCTTTTTGTATGCCTCACTCCCTCTGTCTGCCTTAAATCTTTCCCCCTATATCTATGATGGCTTTGTTCCATATGAAGCTCATAGAAACAGCCATGCGGCTCGCACCCCCTAGGACGATCCAGGATTCACAGGGGCTGTTGTGAGGCGGCCTTGCCCTATACAGGGGACTCTGTCAATCAAGCCAGTCGCCCGGTCTGCTGCTCTGTTGTTTTATAGTTCTCTGAATGTATAGTTCTCTGAATGATGAAAGCCAGTCCTATGACTGGCTTTCATCCATGTTTGTGGTTTTTTTTTTCTTTATTGCTTCTCTTCAGAGTTAGATGAGTTTGATTTGTGGTATGTCTGTGCTATAGGGTACAGCGACCCCCACCCTGTCTGCATAAAAACTGCCAACATACAGATGAGAGCCATATGTGGCATCAGGATCTAATGGTGCATGAAGTAACTACAAATGTTTTAAATAAGATTAGGCTAGCTATTATCTGATGCTGGGGATTATGTCTTGGGGGGCGGGGGTCTGGATTACAGGCTTTTAGATGCAGTCAGACATCAGAATAATGTTTAATTAAAGCTTTCAGGTGACCGTGCTGTTATCATCCACCAACTCTACAAAACAGACTGAAATCAACCTGAATCATTCGTACATGTAATTAAATGATTAATGATGCGAGGTTGTATGTTGTGTATGGAACCAAATATCATTTCATGCTTTGCCAGGTACCGATTAACTGCTGAGTCGTGGATCCTTCTTACATAGAGTTATACGTAATTGTTGTAAAACACAAAAACACCTAAATTTGACCTTGTATTTGCTTACAACTACAATAAAGTTTGTCATAAACCCACAACTAAGTAGTGAGTTGAACCAAAAGGAGCATCAAGAGCCAATTATACCAATGTACTTTGAATTAGAGCTGGAATTAACAACTTCTTTCTCTAGTGAATAATCTTTTTTTTAATAAGTTAAATAGGCTGTAAGAAGTTAAAGATTAGAAATAAATGTCTGGTCCTTTTCCTCACTGTGTCTGACTGAAACCATAAATTTGTAATTTGTAGTGAAATAAAACAGAAGAAAGGAGAACGTCCTCACATTTGAGAAGCTAGAACCAAAGTCTTCTTAATATCAACTCATTTCAATACCCATGTACTCCTGAGACTGTTCAGTGTTTGTGTGACTTTGTCCTCATTGTGTACTTTGGTTTGCCTTCGGTCTTGCAAGCTAGCCTGCATGTCTCCTTCTTGTGTCAGAGCACTGTACTGTGGGACGAGGTCAATGGCCCAAAGATCAGAGCTCCTCCGAACACAGTTTCACAACAAGAGAAAGCATTGCTGAACTACAGGTCACATAGATCTTAGAATCTGATAAAACCCTTTTAACAGTGTTTGGGCTTCAGTATTTGCAAGCAGAATAGAGATCCTTGTTGTTACAGTGCTTGTACAGCAGGAGATGTGGGGTCTTGTGCTGGTCACTACAAAGACAGGGAGGGATACATATATCAACACACACAAATGTGCCAAAAATCATCACAGTTCCCTTCTCAGTGTATTCTTTATGCCCCATGGCATTTCTGATTTC